GTGTGTGTGTGTGTGTGTGTGTGTGTGTGTGTGTGTGTGTGTGTGTGTGTGTGTGTGTGTGTGTGTGTGTGTGTGTGTGTGTGTGTGTGTGGAAAAAAAGGCGAATGTACAGAACGAAGGTAAAACGAAGTGAGAGAGACACGACACCCGTAATAAAGCGAGCGGCTGCTCCCGTTTCGGCATAATTTCCGACATTACGCTACAAAGAAACAGACGCGACACGGAAAGGCTCCTCGTCGCTCCTTGTCACGGAATCGAGGCCCTGAGGTTCGGCCGTGCGTGCATGCGTGCACATGCACATGCGTGCGTGCCTGCGTATCGACACGTTATTCACAATTAGCCCGCAGCTGACGGAAGCGGGTGACCAAGGCCGAGTCCGAGAGACACACTCGCATCTCAACTCGCTACATGGTGGTGGCCTTCACGAGAACTTGACGGAGAGGCAAGCGATCGCGTGCGTGTACACCGCTCCGGGCTATATGCGCGTCGTCGTTCGCCGTGTGTACATATGCACGCGCGCGCGCGCACACGCAAACCACGCATACGAGCTCGATAGCTCCTGCGTGACAAACCGCATAAAGACCGTATCACGCTAATCGCTCACCGAATGCTCTCCGGTTCGCAATTGCGCCGCGTGCGCAGATTGGAAGAGCGAATTAAGCTTCGAAATCTCGATTCGTGGCAATTCCGATCTCGATTCTCGCCCGTTGCGTTGTCACACATACAATGATTTCATCTGCGTTTAATTTTTTGACATAAATTTTTTACGTAGAATTGTAATACGACTTTAAGGAGGATATGTCAAAGATTTTTTTATTTGTAAGAATATACTGCGAAAAGCATCGAACTAATATAATTCTTATTCTTGACATTTTTATTAGTATAATAAATAATATTAGTTAACAAATTTAGTTAAAGATCTCAAAAGAATCTACACGAAAAGAACGGTTTTGTTTATAAATATTTAAAAATTTAGTTGGATACAGATCTAGAAACAATTTTATTTGGACCATCAAAATAATTATTTCGGACGCTCAAATTGATTGTTAGAATGTTAAAACTTTTTGCAGCAACGTCATCAACAGCGTTTAAGCAATGTATATAATTAATTTTATATAATCCTACTAAATTATTTCTAGATCTCTATATAGAAAAAATGGTTTTGCTGACGTATCTAAAAATTTAGATAGATAATTTTAAAATTAGAAATTTAAAAATAATTTTATTTTAGCTATTAATTAAAATAATTATATAAAATTCAAATTTTGCTAAAATGTTAAAACTTGTACTTTGCAGCACTGCTTAACATATTTGAAATTCCTATATAATTATTTTATAATTCAATAAAATTACTTTTAGATCTGTATCTTGCTAAATATTTAAGTACTTTAACAAAATCGTTCTTTCCGTATAGCTAAATTTTTACTGCATTATACTTCAGTAAAACGTTTTTCAGTAAAGCGTTTTTTCCTTGTAATTAAATATTATTATTATTTCTATTTCATTAAAGAGAATGAGGAAGCAAATCAGGAAAAGAAAACAAGAAGTACTTATGTTAATATTTTTCAACTGTTTAAAATTCTATTCTTAGATTTAAGATCTATTTTTAGATTAGATAATTTCATATCCATCACTGTTAGTTGAACAAGCAATTAAACTAATTGGAATGTTAGATAATTAGAATAATAGAAATATTTCATCTCCTTCTCATTTCGCGTATAGCTAAATGTTTGAAAAATACTCGACGCAATCGCGTCTCGTTCCATGTTGATTGAAAAACACTGATAGCGAACGCGATCAACATACGGAATGATGAACGGCATCGCTCTTCCGCGATCGTGATCGCCGGCGACGGTAAAGATAGAGATCCATAGATCAAGCGCGATTCGACGTGCGTTATCGCTGGGAAAGGAAGAGGAAGAAGAAAAGCCACGTGTATTGTCCTTTTCGGTCATCGCACACAACACCGACTGGCGAATCACGATTCTCGAGAAAGGAAAAGAGCGAACTCTCGTCGAGGGTCTGGTCGTGCGTAATAAGGCACAAACAGCCAGTGAGGTCCCTCGAACTCAAGGATTGCTCGTTGCTGACGCACAAACAACGAACGACAGACCGCTCTTGTAAATCACCTCGCCGCTTCCTAGTCGCGTGGCCGTGAAACACGGAATCGTCATTTGTACCGCGAAACGTGAGAAAGTTTCAAATGGATATCAGGCCATAAATATACCTCGCTGCTGTTTCATGGCCGACTCGGACGATTTCCGTCGCACTGGCGCTTCTCCGGATGCAGCTTTTAGTAACAGACATTTAGGTACATACGATGATACTTTCCGATGGAATAAGAAAGAACTTTCTAAAAACACTGAGACAGTTTAACTCCTGACATGTAAATTGTGACAGAATTGGAGATCTTTGCGATTTAAAAATTTTAATTGTTTACTCTAGAGGCTTTAAAATTTGTGATTTTATTATTTACTCTCTAAAAATGAATCAGTGACTTTAGTGTTACATTTGTAATAAACTGATGTAATCAGCAAATATTTACTATTTTTTAGTAATAATACACTGATCCATTTTTAGAGACCGTAAAATTTTATACAGATTTTAGAAATATTCTAAAAAAAGATTTTGTTGCACTCAGAGAAATGTTTTGTATGACATGTGACTTAAAAAAATTTTCTTACCTTTTAATTTAAAAAGTTTATCGTTAATCAAAATTTTGTAATTAAAAAATAAGAAAGTTTTTGAAAATTAAATAGGTTAAAAATTTTGTTGTTCTAATAAAAATTTAATTATTCTAATCAAATTTTGGTTAAAACAGCAAAATTTTTAAGTTAAAAAAATAAGAAAATTTTTTTGTCACATATCATAAAAGTTTCTCGTGATGTAAAATATCTAGAAATTTAGCTAAATATAAATATGAAAATAACTTACTGAATCATCAAAATAATTACGTGAAAACGTGAAAATCTCAAGCATGATGAGTAATGCTGCCAAAAATTTTGACATTCTTAGTAATTAATTCGAGCGTACTATGTAATTATTTTGATGATCCAAGAAAATTATTTTCAGATCTGCAGTATTCAGGCTCAATTTTTATATTTTAATAAAATCATTCATTCCGCTTATGTAGAAATTTAGAAAGTTTCTAAATGTCTGTATAAAATCATATAACTATGAAACTTTATAATATACCTCCGACTTATATAATGATGTAACACGGATATCTTTGAACGATAAAAATAATATTCATCGCGATGCTTCGTTTACCTCGCTATCGCAATTATCCCAATTGATCGTATAAATATCTAGATGGTAATCTCTAATTGGTTAAATGGCCGATAACTATATGGCTGAACGGATCCGATCGTCTGATCGTCAAGGCTGATTATTTTGGCCCGATGAATTACACGTCGTCATTCGCCGAAATTCAGCTGTGTTTCTCGCGCTCGCGAGATCCGATTTATGTAACACCCGGTAGGGGGACCTGCGGCACGTCTCGCGGGATATCTGGCACAACACGTTGTATATATCGAGACGGCCCCCGATCGTTTTGACGAGCTACACGCTGCAAAAATGAGAGAGATATCGCCGACCAGGCGGCGCGCGATCGGCGTAATGGATTCTCTTCTCTCGAGAGGCCGCAACGACGCCAGGGCCAAACCCCAAGCCTTAATAAAACAAAAAGGAAAGCCTGTGTGCCGCCAAGGTGGAGGTGAAGTCGTTGCGCTGCCCCCCGGGGGCTCCCATACTACCATCACCAGCGGGGCCCGATAAATCATTATCCTCGCCGACCGGCTTTTACCTGCGACCCGTGAAAATCGCACGAACACGAAACCGCCAAATCGAGCGTGACCGTTGCTCGCGAAAGGATCAGCGTCGAAAGTATGGTTTCCGAGGGATGCGATGAGGTGGGTGGGGCCCCCGTGTATATTCGGATGAGGCTTATGTTATGTTAGAGACCCGCCATATGTTCCGCTCGCGCTACAAAAGCGGTGCCATTAGAGCAGATATCTGGTCGCTACGCTGGTATCTCGATAGATCGGAGAAAATAGTTTATGGATGGTTTTTACTAGCCTAAGCTTATATTGCCTGAAGTCTATTGCCTGCATCTTGCGTCTTAAGGACCCGGCGGCGCTCCTTGGAAATGCAATAAAAGCAATATACGCGTATCTGCAGTAAATAGCCGTTTATAGCATTGAAAAAATAATTTCTGTGCACATTTTTCAAGTAACGTATATAACCCTTCATTAGACGCATAAAATGTCCAAGATACTCGCTTTATAGATTCATTAAATGTAAAAACGCTAT